TGGTTTATTGGAGAGAAGAGTCTCATGGAGTTTTTTGCTGGGGCTGGCTACTCAGCCTCGTGAGTAGCTAGGATTATAGGCATGAGACACCAGCGCCTGGCTTAATATGTACATATTTTTAACGGTTCCATTGTTTCTGGGATTCTAGTTTTATACTTCCGTGTCTAAAAATACACTGATACAACTTCAGACTTCATAAATTATTAGGACTTGTTTTGTAACCTAATGAATCTATCTTGGAGAATGCTGAATTTGTGCTTTAGAAGAATGTGTATTTTACTTCTGTTGGACAGAGTATTTTCTACAGGTAATGCTCATGACCAAAGGAAATAATAAAATGAAAAATCAGCCCATTATTTGGGTTTTACAAAAAGAAAATTAATACTTGGACAAGCTTTCAATAATAGGACTTACAATACTATCTTACTAAAATCTCTAGATCAAAAAGACTATATGTGCTCATTCCCAAGAAAATTCTGACTTCAGAAGTTGCACTGTGGCTCAAGTGGTAGAGCCCTAGGCTTGAGCACAAAGAGGTTCAGGGACAGTGCCCAGGCCCTGAGTCAAAGCCCTACAACCAACAACAACAAAAAAAGATTTTGAGAGAATCCTGATTTTATTATTCTAGATTTTCCTTTTCTAGGTTCCCTCTGCCAAACTACCCTCATCTTTCTCTCTTTGATTCTTCTTCTGTCCTACCTCTTATACATTGAGAGGCACAATTGTAATGCCAAATAGAGCCTATCTTCAGCTTAACACAAACAAAAGGTATAATCTAAAACCTTTTGTATATTTTTTATTGTAAAGATACTGTACAGGAGGGTTACAGTAACATGAGAAAGGTAATGAGTACATTTCCTATCCAGCATTGTTACCTCCTCCTTTATTTTTCCCCTACCACCCCTTCCCTCCCCATCTCTTTAACTCCTCCCCACCAGTTGTAAAGTTCTTTTTTAATGTAGTATCTTATACATCTCATTGTTATAATGGGTCAAGCTATATCCTTATTTAAGCATTTTGTTATTTCCCTTCCCCTCCCCAAATTAAAAAAATGTATATACAAGATGCAGGGTACTGGAATAAAATACAATGAAAACAGGGTTTATACCACCGGGGAGGAACATACAAAAGAAACAAAAAATGTACATTATAAGTACATTAAAAACAACAACAAGAAAGATAAAACCACTTGTGTCTCTGCCTTGGGGTTCATTTCATTTAGCATCATCTTATATGGTCATATGTATATAGCTTTTGAACTTTTCTGCTTGTCCTACACATATACTAGTTATTGCAAATAAGGGAAACCATGGGACCTATGTTTTTTTGGGGCCTGGCTTACTTCACTTAATATAATTTTTTCCAAGTCTTTCCATTTTCTAACAAATGGGGCAGTGTTGTTCTTTCTGATGGAGGCATAGAATTGTATATATGTACCATATTTTCTTGATCCATTCTTCTACTGAGGGGCATCTGGGTTGGTTCCATATCTTAGCTATGGTGAATAATGCTGCAATAAATATAGTTGTGCTGGTAGCTTTAGTATGGCCTTGTTTGTGATCATTTGGGTAAATGTCCAAAAGTGGGATTGCTGGGTCATAGGGGAGCTCTATGTGGAGTCTTTTGAGGAACCTTCACACTGCTTTCCAAAGTGACCCAAACCTTTGTATATATCTGTCATTTAAATTCTACCTATCTCATACTTTGTTAAAACAACTGCTGAAATGAGTTATCTTACTTAAAATTTTTATTATGAACATGCAAAAGTCCAAAGATTTAAATTTGAATCTCACTGTAGGTTGTTTGTCCTCAGTTGTATTATCAAACTCTTGAAGCCTCTCATTTCACATCTATAAATGGAGGTAATAACTTACAAGGTTTTTGTGAGGTCTTAATATGATTACATTTGACTGTCCCGTGTATAGTGCCTGGCAAATACTTGATGTTCACTAAAAATTATATTTCTTACTATTTTCACATCCTACTTCATTTTAACATCCAAAGTAACTTCTGTCTTCAGGGTTTTTTGTTTTTGTTTATGTTTTTAGTTATACTCACCACATTGGAACTCGTCTTGCCCTAACAAGCAAGTTTATCACAACTCTTCTGAATTCACCTTAGTGAATAATATGATCAAGCAGCAGCAGAATTTGGAGCCAATGCAATCTTCAAGTGGAACGTGAGTTCATGGCAAGAACAGTTAATGTCTCTGGTATTTAGATGGAGAAAAAAATGTGTGCATATTTATTTCTCTAATCAGTTTTATTCCCTGCTAATGGGAATCAAACACATGCAAGGCAAGCCTTCTACAATGGAACTACATCCATTACCACCCGTTTATAGCTAGTCAGCAATTTTAAAGGCTTGTCAGAGTTTGATTTTATACTAACTGCTGTTATTTGTCACTGAATTCTTACCTATGTGAGCAGAATATCCACAGCATTTTAGAGCCCAGACTCTGAGAAAAGTTTGTTGTTAGCTAAAATCCTATTTACTATCTCCTTGATCTTAGAATAATATATTTCTTTTATTTTTCTTTTGGCAAATGAACTTGAACTCAGGGCCTAGGTGCTGTCCTCTAGCTGTTTTGCTCAAGACTGACACTCTACAATTTGAGCCACACTTCCAGTTCTGGCTTTTTGGTGGTTAATTGGAATAAGAGTTTCATGGACTTGCCTGACAAGGCTGAATTCTAACTGTGATCCTCAGATCTCACCCTCCTGAATAGCTAGGATTACAGGCATAATTCACCAGCACCCAGCACAGTAATAATTTTCTTTAACCCTCCATTTACTCTAATATAGTGTGCCATTATTAATAGATCATCAGTGGAGATTTAAAGAAGATAAAACATATGCCAAATTATTCATAATTAACTAAATAAAATTGCCTCTTATGAAAGAAACTGAACATGAGCCATATGCCAAGACATAGTATATATTCTGGATTAACAAAGATAAAGAAAGAAAGGCCTTGTCTTCTCCTTGTATTAACATTCTAGAGGGTTTGAAAGAGATTTCCACTCTGGAACTCTGGAATTCAAATTTAGTTGCATCTGACATAGCACAGGGACTTGTCTCCTCAGCCAAGAAGAATGGGAACTAACAGAATCATTGCTCCTTGTTCTATGGAGTCTCATGAACTCAGTTTGTGATAGATAATGAGACTATAGCTAATAATGCTTCAGTTCTCCTATTCAGTTCTGTTGCAGTTGGATTCTAGATTTTTGCGACATGTCAGTTACTGACTAAATAAAAGATTAAAGCTTTCTCATTTTATCTATTGGAAGTAACTTTAGAGATAGCCATAATAGCCCTCCCAGTTCTCCTTGTAGTTCTGTGAACAGCATTTACCAGCTATGTTGAGCAGCAAGATATCTTTGTCAGTAAGACCAGAGCAGGAGATAAGAGAAGGACAGCCCTTGGGTTAATTTGGTTGATGAAGTTAAAAAGAAGGTAGGAGAAAGAGAGAAGAAAGGAAAGAGAAAGGAAGGAAGAAAGGAAGGAAGAAAGAAAGAAAGAAGGAGAGAAAGAAAGAAAGAGAGAGACAGAAAGAAAGAAAGAAAGAAAGAAAGAAAGAAAGAAAGAAAGAAAGAAAGAAAGAAAGGAAGGAAGGAAGGAAGGAAGGAAGGAAGGAAGGAAGGAAGGAAGGAAGGAAGGAAGGAAGAAAGGAAGGAAGGAAGGAAAAAAGAAGAAAGTTGGTTCAAGGAACAGAAAATGGTAAATTATATATAGTAAAAGAAACACTAAAACATTAGCAAGAGGCCTAGCAGAAGAAAGATATATGGAGAGTGTACACTGACGGTTTACTCATTAGAGACAGGTGAAGTTAATATGTTGAGCAGATCATGACACATGCTCTTGCTTATTACCTTGAAGGAGCAAATACAAAAATTACTAGAATCTAAGGAGTTAAGTTTCCAAGAAATAAAGATCCCCAACAAGAGCTGTGGCCTTCAGAGGTGGAATACAGCACACTTGACCCAACTTGGCAAGAGACAGAATCACTCTCCTACATGATCCTCTCCTAAATGCTTGCCATTGACAGAACCTAATACCTAAGTCTCCAGACATACCATGGCAGTCCCACATACTCAGGAGGCTAAAGAAAGAAAATTTATTGAACCAATTAGCCTGATACAAGTGTGGCAAACATATCAAGACCTCACCCAAACAAATTTTAGAGTGCACAGGGTAGGGTGGAGAACTGATACAAAGGTCAGAGAAGGGCGCAAGGTAAAAGATCTCGCTGAGGATTTCCACCTCACTGGGTAAACTCTTAAATATTGCATAACCTAAGCAAATCATTTTTACAATTTCATGTCTTTGTTCCTCATTAAAATAATAAGATTAATAATGTTTCTCTAAACATTCACACAGGAAGACCAAAGGAGGATATTCTTAGGAGAAGATCACCAGGGCCCAATAGCTATGTGCATAAAATCATATAAAATAATGCTTATTGAAATAAAGTCTAAGAAATGGAAATGAGAGGTTTTTCATTGTATTGTTCCTGGTTCTTTTTATTCCCTTTTGTCATTGTGTTTGATTTATGTACCCATTGTCTTATATATAAGTTTATTTGATTTGGGGAGGGAAGGAGAAAGCTCAGAAATGGTAGGACAAAGAGTGAATCAATTCAGCAGTGATACTTACTAGACACTGTGTTACAAATGAACTATACAACTTGTGGTGAAGGGGGTTGAGAGGGAAAAAAATTAATGTACTCAATACCTGACTTACGTAACTGTAACTCCTATGCATATCACCTTTACAATACAAAAATAAATATTTTTTTAAAAAAAGATATAAGAATAACTTGAGTCCAAAACTTGAAATAAGCTGTTTGTTGGAAGAGTGGTTATGGACTTACCTACCTGATTCTAATCTTTGTTTCTTTGTGTTTTCAGACTTTTTCCAGGGACTATCACTAACACTTCCAGAATTAATTGTGAGATTTTGGAAGGAAGTCAAATCATCCCTTCTCCGTGAAATACAAAGATGCTGGGATACCTAGGAAACAGCAGCAGCATGTCCTCTACCTTCCTGCTGAGTGGCATTCCTGGGCTTGAGCATTTGCACATCTGGATCTCCTTCCCTTTGTGCTTCATGTATCTGATTTCCATCCTAGGCAACTGCACGATTCTCTTTATCATTAAAACTGAGCCTTCACTCCATGAGCCTATGTACCTCTTCCTGTCCATGCTGGCTCTCACTGACCTGGGGCTTTCTCTTTGCACCCTTCCCACAGTGCTGGGCATCTTTTGGGTGGGAGCAAGAGATATTAGTCATGATGCCTGCTTTGCTCAGCTTTTTTTCATTCACTGTTTGTCCTTTCTAGAGTCCTCTGTGCTCCTGTCTATGGCTTTTGACCGGTTTGTGGCCATTTGCCGTCCCTTGCACTACGCTTCCATTCTCACCAACACAGTCATTGGCAGAATCGGTCTGGCTTCCCTGGCCCGTAGTGTAGCACTCATTTTCCCATTGCCTTTTATGCTCAAAAGATTCCCATATTGCAGCTCTCCAGTTCTCTCCCATTCCTATTGCCTCCACCAAGAAGTGATGAAACTGGCCTGTGCAGATATCAAAGCCAATAGCATCTATGGCATGTTCGTCATTGTGTCCACAGTGGGTGTGGACTCGCTGCTCATCCTCTGCTCCTATGCCCTCATCCTCAACACTGTGCTGTCTATTGCCTCCAGGGCTGAAAGGCTCAAAGCTCTGAACACCTGTGTTTCCCATATCTGTGCTGTGCTCCTCTTCTACACACCCATGATTGGCTTGTCTGTCATCCACCGCTTCGGGAAGCAGGCACCCCATCTGGTGCAGGTGATCATGGGCTTTGTGTATCTTCTTGTCCCTCCTGTGATGAACCCCATTGTCTATAGTGTGAAGACAAAACAGATCCGAGATCGGGTCGCTCATGCTTTTTGTTCCTGACCAGATCAAGTTTGGAGACATGACTGTCTTTGAGTGGTTTTACACTTCTGTCTTTATAAGATGGGATATGCATGGAAGAGAAGAGGTATTTGTTTACAACTGTAGACAAGGATGAACAAATGGCAGCTTTCACACTATTCATACTTTATAAAGGCCGATTAGGAGAGATCCAGTGTACTATGATACAGAACATTTTCCAAAAATGTCTTTAAAGATATTCTTAGTCTTGTTTTCTGTTCAAGTATTTCCAGTCCCAGAAGCTTACCATTCCATGTCAAGACATAGACTTTTTCTTCTCTTATAACCAAGTAGGCCTATGTAACTGCCTCCATGAAGTCAACGTTGTAGAAATAAACCCAGAAATATCTCAAGGTTAGATCATAGACAATTACATGTTTCTCACTGGTGATGTACACATATCTTCAGTATTCCTGTCTATCTTGTACAACATTTGCTTTTGCTGTTTAGCTATTGTACTGACAGGAAGCCAAGGCCAAATGGGGAAACTATAAGTTTCATACAGCAGGTTCAGCTAAGATATGAGCCCAGTGAGTGAGCAAACTTTCAGATTATTCCACTTCCATCTTTCCATTTTTTTCTAGCAGACAGTCAAGATGAAATAGAGGGGTAGGGTCTGGCACTGGTGGCTCACGCCTGTAATCCTAGCTATTCAGGAGGCTGAGATCTGAGGATCACAGTTCAAAGTCAGGCCGGGCAGCAAAGTCCATGAAACCCTTATCTCCAATAAACCAACAGAAAACCAGAAGCAGCACTGTGGCTCAAGTGGCTGAGCACTTGCCTTGAGCTGAAGAGCTCAGGGACAGCACCCAGTTTAAGCCCCATGACCAACAAAAAAGAAAGAGAGAGAGAAGAGGCAGGTAAACTCTACTACGAGACCAATACAAATGCAAACCAGAATAAAAGTAAAAATGTTAAGACCCTCAATTTGAAGATAAGTTGTTATTTGAATTATCCAGAGGAAAAGGCAGTTAAATGCTATTTAAAAATATCATCTGATGAGGAATAGCTTTTCAAGAAGAAAGCCTATCTTAATAAAATTATTTGAGATATCTCAGAGACATGTGGTAGGGGAGAGTAGATAAAAATGTATTTTAATCTAGAATAACATATTCAATGCTGAGACAGAGATGAGGGAGAGACAGTACATTCAGAAAATCATCTGGATGTTTAATTGTCACCATGGAGAACATTTGGCAAATGGATAAAGGAACCTAGAAATAACCCTAAAGGGAAAGAGTGGCCTATATTTCTAAAGGAGTTGTGGAGCTAAGCCTCAAAGTAGAAAGTGTCTGGGTGACAAGAGGTGCTGATTGTTTACTGTCTTTCAGTGATAGTTGTCCAGACACCGTAAGGACATAATGCAAAGCCTAACAAAGGACTGTGTTCTTAAATTGTTTTTTGTGAATACATGGGACTTTGCTATGTAAAAGTACAAAAAAAAACACATGCTTGTTGGAAAAACACACACACAATGCCCAAAGATTTAGGTATAAGTTTAATAGGATGATGCTGCATTTGTATTTCTCTGCAGAAATGTAAGACAGAATGCTGTTAGGTAAGGTGATAGAGAAAAGTCAATATTGAATAATAGGAAATAAGGCATGATAGATTGATAGATAAGATATAGATAAAATTTATTGAGAATGTCTTTTTATACAATTTTATTTGAAAATGTATTAAAGCAGCTTCACTTTATTTTAAATGCCCAGGGAAAACACTATCACAAAAAAATGACTAAGTAGGAAAATCATATTGTTTAAAATTAGTTTCTTAGTTACTTAGCAGAATCTGTGACTTTTTTATAAATTATATGCTGGGTTTTTTGTTTGTTTTGTTTCAGCCAGTTGTGGGACTTGAACTCTGGGCCTGGGCCCTGTCCCTCAACTCTTCAGCTCAAGGCGAGTGCTCTACCACTTGAGCCACAGCGCCACTTCCAGTTTTCTGGTAGTTAATTGGAAATAAGAGTCTCACAGACTTTCCTGCCTGGGCTGGCTTTGAACCTTGATCCTCAGATCTCAGCTTCTTAAGTAGCTAGGATTACAGACTATATGAAGGTTTTATAATAGCATATTGTTATTAAAATTAGATGTGTCATGTTAGATATTTTTACAGACTCAATAAGATTTCTAATATCTCCTAAATTTAGACTTGCAATTCTCCTCTACATACGAATAAATCTGATTCAGTTGTTTTATCCAAAAAAATGTCACTCAGTATTTGCCAAGTGATATTCTTGTTTTGTTTTGTTTTTTTTTTACAAATTGAACATTCTTCCTAGGTAATATATGCTCCTTGATTTTTGTCTTTCCTTGATGGCATAGAGATTACACACTGTAGCATTAATTTTAATAAATGTTAATTACACAATAATCTATTCACTCAAATTCTATTCTTTAAGAAATGCCTCTGATCTAATTGGTCAGTCACATAAGTTTTATTTCAAGTCCTCTTAAAATGTTCATTCAACTTCAATGAATCATGTCAGAGTGCCCAATTATTTTGTTCTATCTTGGGTAAATTGTATTCCCAACTTTATTATATAAATCTTGTAGCCTGGCTCTTCACTAGATGGTTCACTAGATAGTTCAACACCACCATGGCCCTGAAGATAAAACAGTTCCATTAAGTATTTCCTAGTTGGTAATTTATTTCTTACATACTCGAATTATTATCTGAGACAGATGTTGACTACTTTGCCTAAGACCTTCTCTCGGATTTGGCGAGTCTTTACACAGTACACAATGGGGTTCATCAGGGGTGGCACCAATAAGAATATATCTGCAATAAGGATAATAACTAGAGGGCTTTTGTGCTTGGCAAAGCGATGCATGGCAGCCAAGGTGATGATGGGCACATAGAAGATGATCACAGCACAGATGTGGGAGACACAGGTATTCAGGGCCTTCAGCCTCTCTGCCAGAGAAGCAATGCTGAGTACCGTCTTCAAGATGAGCACATAAGACAGCACAATCAGTGAAAAGTCCAACATAGTACAGAGAGCAACAAAGAAGCCATAGATGAAATTAATCTTGTTGTCAGAACAGGCCAGCTTCATGATATCCTGATGAAGACAGTATGAATGAGAAAGGAGATTCTTTTCACAATACTTTAGTCTCCTTAGAGTAAAGGGAAATGGAAGCACTAAAATTAGGCTTCTAAAAGCTAAGATAATTCCAATTTTAGCCACTCTGCTGCTAGTTAGAATAGACCTGTACCTGAGAGGGCTGTGGATGGCGAGAAAGCGGTCCAAAGACATAATTAGAAGCACAGAAGATTCCATCACAGTGAATCCATGAATGAAAAACTCTTGAACAAAGCAAGCATCAGGGGAAATTGTCATGGCATTGAACAAGAAGATTCTCAGCATGGTAGGAAGGGAAGAGAAAGACAGCCCCAGGTCAGAGGCAGCCAACATGGCAAGGAAATAATACATGGGCTCATGAAGTGAAGGTTCTGTCTTTAAGATAAAGAGAATGGTACAGTTGCCCAGGATGGCAACCAGGTACGCGAAGCAGGTGGGAATGGAGATCCATATATGGGCATGCTCTAGTCCTGGGATCCCAGTCAGAAGAAAATATTTCACTTCAGAGTTGTTAAGAACAGACATGAGTGGGGAATCTGAGATTTAAAGCCAGCTCTGAAATCACATGAACAAAATCCAGTCATGCTTTTGAACAAAATGCAATCTTGTGGGGATAGAATGTTCTTTCATGCGTAGTCTGAAGAAGTATATTTGGTATGTGAAACAATTATATTCTTCCAAATTTACCATAAGGTCTTAAATATTGTAAATTCTCCCACATGACAAGTTCACTTTAACAATGCATGCTAAATATGCATTTTTCAACATTTTTCATCAAACAGGTAAAGTATGTCAAAGTAGAACTGTTTGTATTGATTCAATGAAAAGACACCCAGAATCTAGTTCACTGAATTTTGCCATGCAGTCTTCAGCAGACCCAGAGTGCCTTTACAACAAAATTTATGAAATTTATGGAATGAAACAATTATCTAACTCAGATCACTGAAAATACTTAGTAAACAAATTCTAAACTGTTAAGTTTATGAACTATTTCATATATTAAACTTAGGAAATAGTCTCTTATGTATATAATATTCATGAGTATGATTCATGTAAATATGTATTCCTTCAAGAAATATATGAAAATAAACATAATAATTTGTGGTCTAATATATTTGCCACCTATTTGGTTTTAAGTTATCTCATCTATCTAAATATCATTTATAATCTTTAAAATTGATATGAGTATTAAGCTGTTGGTATTAATAAAATATCAATTAGGTATTAATAAAATAATAATTAGACCTATGCTCACCATATTACAAAGAAGTATCAGAAAATACTAATATTTATTCTAATAGATTTTAGTAAAATATGTAAGAGATATAAAGCAGTGACTTTACCTTACTTAATTTAAACATTTTGGGTCACATTTCATTCTTCTTATTATTTCAAGGGAGAGTTTGAATCTGTACAGTAATGTCGTACACATTTTCATCTTATAGATCCTAACTGGGTTATTTTATATTTATATTTATCTGTGTCATGAACAAGTTAAGGAAATTGTAAATTAAGAAAAATGCTCAAACCACTTAATTTCCTTTTGAAATTTAAATATTAAAACTCTAAATAACAATACCTGATTTCACTTACACAGTCTATAATACAAGTTTGCTATTTACATTCTCAGAGACAAGCTACATAATCTTCCATTTTATTACTACAATTTGGATCACCAAATGTGGAATAAGTGATATTAATGTCCAGAAAATACAAATATCTAAAATAGACACCATAAATCCTTCCTCTATTTAATAAGCCTTCTAAATAGATGCATAAAATATTTATGAAATTAATTTCTACTGCAAAATATAGCAAAATACAAAACATAATGGGAGAGCCCATAGAAGGGTAATGCACTCAGGATATGTCAATGTCACCTCATAAGTTTTGTTTT